ACAAAACTGCGACAAAAGGTCCTTTTTCTAGAGACGGAAGTAGTGCAACGGTGAAACAATCTCGAGGGCTTATGTTATAACCCCGACCTACACACTGTACGGCGCAACTACTTTGGGCTTGTTGGGGTGGTCCGCATTATTGAGGACACCATGGCCACCGAGAGAGCTCGGCCTGGCATGGTAGGGCAATCGAATGCTTGCAAGTTGCACTACAGAAAGGCCTCACTGCTGACTGGTCTCAGATTGCTCGCTCTCTCGCGTGATTACTATATACGCTCTTATACACGCGGACCATCAAGTTAATATTATTCGCCTAGTTTTGCTTAATTTTCACTCACGTTCATGCATCCGCGTGCGTACGCTGCTGTGTACATGTGCGTGCGCTGCGTGCGTGGCGGTGCGTGCCGTGCGGTATACACTGTGGGCGTGTTGAGCTGTTGTAGGCTCCAAGGCATTAGGCTGTTAGTGAAAAAAAATTACTCTTCTAGGCCAAGCTTGTTGTGCGGTATCATGAACTGAAAGGAAATCAAGCCACGCGCACAGAAAAGTGCCGCCCCTAGAAAACAGAGACAGCAGGACATAATGCGGTCCAATTCATAATACACATCCTATCAAAAGAAAGGCACACGGCGGGAAGCTATAGTCACCGCAGAACATCGGCCACGGGGACGATATCACACGGCAAGCATGCCGTGCACCGAGTCGACTGTCCATACGTCCCTTGATCTTTCCGCAGTATACGCACGTATATTACCGCACGTTTTAACACTATTACCTGCGCTTCGTCGCCTGCTGTATGAGCTCTACAACAACCTATGCAGAGCCACCTCCTTCTATTGCAAGGGCCTCTATTGGCAGAACCGAGTAAATAACAATGACATCATACGTCCTACGTAGCCACACGATAATAAGTCATCGAAATAATGTCTTTTCAAAAACAATGTCGGTCATAACAAAGTATGATCATCGACTGGCTTGAACTAATTAAATGATACTATCCGAGCTATTAACCGAACGTTTCCGGAGTAAGGTTTGCAGGTGGCGACTGCGGAACTGTGAATGTGCCTAGGCTAACGTGAAATAATGCACGTCTCATCTTCATGTGCATGGTAATTTAATAAACCGTAGGCTCTTGCTCGTATCGCACACTCAATGGGGGAGCGTGAAGTAGTGCGGAGAGCATGGGGGGGCGGGATGCGCGGAGAAAGGCACGGAGAGCAGGGGAGAAGGGCAGGGGACGTGCGGGACGCAAAGGCCATGGCCGGAGCAGAGGGGGAAGCCAGGGGCAGCTGCGGGGCAACGGCGACAGAGCAGGGATGGCGGGAAGGCAGCCGAGCACAGGGGCAGAGCAGGGGCAGTGGGAAGAAGGCAGGGAAGCAGCAGGGGATCGGGGAGAAGGTAGCGGAGCAAGCCGGGCGAGGTGGGGAGAAGGTGAGTACGGACGACATCGAAGTGGGGAGACGGAGCGGCAAGTGCAGTCGGGAACGTGGCGCCGAGATAACGCAGCGGACGAGCGAGGGGAGGTGGGGAGGCAGGGGGAAGACGCAGGCGGCAGTCGCGGGAGAACGTCAGCGGCAGGAGCAAGGAGCGAGATCAGGGACAGTGGGGGAGAAGGCCAGGGGACGCAGCAGGGCGAGCAGCAGGGGAGCGCCTGCGCGTAAGCTCAGGGGAGAGCAGGGCGATTGGGAAGCAGGAAAGTAAACAGTACACATTGTGGCGAGATACGGGAAAAAGAATTCGCTTGCCTGCCCGGCAACATAGGGCGTAGGCTTGTTTCCTCCATGGGTAGCGAGAGTCGGTGGAAGCCATCTGCTACAAAGAGAGAAAGTGCAGTGTCACGCAGCACCATCAAGGTCAGATACGGTAGGCAATTTAAGTCATTTCAAGTTTCACATATTGCCAGCTAGCCACGTTTGTTACGTTTCAAACTGCAGTAATGGTTCATAAAAAGGAGAGAAAATGGCCGAGGGTAAGCAATAATCAGGAAGCGCGGAAAGATTCACTGAAATATATATATATATACTATATATACTAGGTATATATCGATCATATCATTCGTCGTTAGTTGAAAAGCTGATGCGTCAAGGCAGTGATGCTCAATGTGCTTAGTCTACGTGCAAAGATGTGACTGTCCCACTAGAAGTGTGCTACCGCTTGGATTCTACAACAACATGCCATCAATGCTCCCTATATATACGGGCCTCGACTGCTAAGGGCAGCGTTCCGTTTCTCAGTCGCCCTCTCAAAACTAGTTCAGTGTTCATCGAAGCTGCATTCCTAAGAAGCATGGTATAGCGACCTTTCATCTTGTATCTACTACCATATAGCGCAAGGCCACTTAGATTTCGTGGATCTTGTAAGGACTCTAAGAATTATTTGTCTCATATTACGCCTGGTGGAACCTGATCCATTCCTTCCTTATTTAACTCATGGACAGATCATAAATGCAATGTTATTTATACCCTAATTTGTTACCAGGCTACTCCTCCTCTTCCCCTCTCGCTCCTCCCCTTGCTCACTTCCATTGGCGCTTCACTTATCGGCACTCCTCCACTCTGAATCCGTATATACCCCTCCACCTGTCCTCTTCTCCTCTTGCTTCCACAACTTCCACCGCTCTTCTGCTTCCTCCTCCTCTTTCGGCTCCTCCTCCTCCTCCTCCTCCTCCTCCTCCTACTCCTTACTCCTACTCCTACTCCGGACTGGGCCACGTCATATTCCGACTCCGCGACTCCCTACCCCATTATTCATCACCCATACTCTAATCATGACTCGTACTCCTACTCCTACCTGGTCTCTTCGCTCGAGTCGTAGCAACAAGAGATTTCTCGTTATTGTCCAGGCAACCGCCAACAAATGCGTCTTGTAAGGCTGAACAGCGAGCCTAACCTTTCTAAAGGCTTTGTTACTTCGTTAGCCCCTATACATGCAGACCTAAATGCAGAGTGTGCTCGTCCAGCTTTCGCAAGTGAAATCAGGCGTGTTATCACTGTAGGACGCCCAGATATAGGGCGCGTTGCGATCTGTCGTCGGCAAAGATAGGCATCTCAAGAATGCCGGGCTGTGCCTCTGGTAATGGGTTAGCTGGCATTTTAGCTGTGTGTGAGATACGTCACGGCAGTTGCTTTGATTGGTCCTATATATTTTTGCAGGCTCATGTAGGTGAGGAATGGAAGTCAGTTGTCACGCGGGCGTTAGCTGGTGTGCGTGCATGCAGCTGCCGTGGCAATGCAGGGGGGGCGGGAGGGGGAAGGGGCGCTGGGGCGATTGAAAGCATTGACGAACGGGCGCGGGAGCGGTGGTAGAGAGAGTGAGAGAGAGCGAGAGCGAGAGCGATGTGAGGTAAAGAGAAAGGCTGTGTGTCAACTTACTGATATGTTTGTTCTTCAGCTAACTTCCGACCGAGTCCATTGTTTAAATACGCGCCGAGCTGCGAAAACTGTATTGTGATCGGACAAAAAAAAAAAAAAAATTGTTTAATATTTTGACAAAAATTTTAAAAATCCAACGTGATATCGATCGGGTGAATGCAATTGATTTGACTTTGAAGTCATATATGGGCTGTACAAAGACTTGTATAAATACAGAGTTATTTGTATACAAGTTAAGTTAGAATACAAAAAAAATAATTGATAAAATGCGTGCCTTAACCGCTACCCGTGTCGCGTGATTTTTTTTAGCTCATTAGCGATTAACACATCTTTTTTTTAGGCCTAATAATAATAGGTAGAGAGACCCCTGTGGCATTACGTTATCACGAGTTGCATAATTGATGGCTGCTGCTCGTCGCGGCTAATGCAGATTAATGGCACCGCATCGAGAGCGATATCAACATATTGATACGCTCTGCCATCCTCGCCTCTGTGTATCCTTGCTTCTCTCGATTTTATATCTACTACAGGCGAAGTCGTAACTTTCACACTTCGGGGATGGGAGAGGGCGTTAGAAACCTCGTTAAGGATATATATACCACTGCGGTGGGGATACACATTCTACACGAATGTCACGATGTGTATACGTAATCAAAGGGACACATTAACTTACAATTATCATAGAGTTAGCAGGTGAGAATGGGAAAGGTTTACAGGTGTCAGAAGTAAAAAAAACCTGGTTTTTTTTCATTAATGCAGGTATCACAGAATAATGGTCATATTTTAGAGGAGAATAATGTAAATATTTTACGCATGCTACATGATAGTGGTCAGATTTAAACGTATTACAGAATAGTGAACATATTTACGAAACATCAGACTAATGGACAGAATTACGCTGTAATGCTGTAATGTGTGTATACGTGTATTATTATTGAATGATGTACAGTCAGCAAGCATGTAGCTCCTCCCTATGTTTGCATCAGCATCCTTTCTCTCTTAATAAAATACATGACATGCGAATGAATTTAATTTGCGTAACGTATTCTGTGCGTCAGATGTTGTTTTGAACTTTTTCTGTGCTCAACACGCTTGCCAAAAAGTTGTTGTGACCCCTCCCCCCTTCCCCGCGTGTGGGAAATACATACAGCTATGATGTATACTTAGGTGTGTGAGGGATAATATATAATTTTTTATATTATATTAGATATATCTATTGGGGGAGGGGGCTGTCGAATGCTGAAATTTGCTTGAACATTTTGGGTTTTAAAATTCCTGCTGCTAGACGTTTTTCTGGAAGGCATGATATAACTCATGATGTTCTTTTTTGTTATTTAATTAAATTAATAAGGGATTTCCAACAGTCTGAGATCATTTATGTTAGGTGTTAAGTTTTGAAAATAAATGACCAGAAAATAGTCCTGTCTTGCACTGCACGAGAGAGCGCACGTGCGAGAGAGAGAGCGAGGGCGAGAGAGAGAGAGCGAGAGAGCGAGAGGCACCAGATAGAGAGAGAAAGAAAGCGAGAGAGAGAGAGAGAGAGAGAGAGAGAGAGAGAGAGAGAGAGAGCTAGCTTTCCGCTTTAGTAGTCAAAGACTCTTACTAACAACACTCGACGTGTTTTCGCAGATGTATGGCCACTATTCAAAGGACCTCGGAGAATACGCCAAGAAAGAAGCCGAGCGCATACGAGTGGAAAAGGATGAGAAGGTAGAGGATCCCGTGGGCTTTCACCAGTACGAGACGCAGTGGATTGTGCGGCTAAAATGTAGGTTGACACTTGAGGGGCATGCGCGATAAAAATCAATGCGATCTAAAATCTGTATATAAGATTTATACAAGTGTAACGGTAGAAGTGCCCTTATCAACGAATAAGCGTTCTAGCAAGCTGGAATCACTATAACTGCCAGTTAGTAGGGAAAAAGTAGTAGTTAGTAGTTAGTAGTTAGTAGGGTAAAAAAAAGTTAGTATAGGGGGAAAAAAACAAAAACTAAAAGGCTCCTTTATAATCAGTTGTTCATTCTATAGCGGTGGTTTCTTTATATAACTGCACTGGGAAAAAACGCCAAAAGTGCACTTTATCGACAGGTGCCATAGTCTTGGAAACAGGTCTGAAAAGCCAGCCAGTCCAGATTTTACGATTTATAGGTTTCTATTATATATATATATATATAACCTATGATAAAATCCATGAAATTGAGCCAGTCCAATGTTACCAGTTATGGGCTGGGGAACAGGCTGCCAATTTCAACACTGTGTGTCGTTTCTATAGCGGTGTCTTCTAACGCCTGTTTGACTGTACCGAGACGTGCAATCTGTGGCTTAGCCTGACACGAGAGTCGGTACTTACTGTCTATGCGATCGGTCGTGAAAGTAACGACGGTGTCTTGCAGCTAATAGTCGCCCAGAGTATATGTCCATTCTGCAGAGGTGACAGCGAGCACAGGGTTGGCTGTTACTAGTCACTGTGTGTGTGTGTGTGCGTGCGTGCGTGCGTGCGTGCGTGCGTGCGTGCGTGCGTGCGTGCGTGCGTGCGTGCGTCTACAATCTCTACATGCAAGCGAGTCGGGTTCGGTGTTCATCGTGTTGCATAAATTATTCCTGAAAAATAATTATAGCGGTGACCTTTCTTCATGAATAATTCAGAGCAAATTTGCTCAAAAACATCGTTATTTAAAACACGGTAGTAGCAATTAAAACATCACTCGAGAATAAGTAATAAAACTGGTGTAGAGACTATTAGAGAAAGAGAGAGGGAGAGAGAGAGAGAGAGAGAGAGAGAGAGAGAGAGAGAGAGAGAGAGAGAGAGAGAGAGAGAGAGAGAGAGAGAGAGAGAGAGAGAGAGAGAGAGAGAGAGAGAGAGAGAGAGAGAGAGAGAGAGAGAGAGAGAGAGAGAGAGAGAGAGAGAGAGAGAGAGAGAGAGAGAGAGAGAGAGAGAGAGAGAGAGAGAGAGAGAGAGAGAGAGAGAGAGAGAGAGAGA